GGAAAGAGTCAAAAGCAAAGAACAAACAAACTCCAAGTTAAGGTTAAAGGCCCAAAGAGAAAAAAACACCCAAAAAAAATTAAAAAGTTACACCAGCATAGACCCAGATAGCTAGGCAGAATCCCATGGCCTGTTGACACGTGACCGGCTGGAACAAACATGTACGCAGCCTGCACAGCCAGCTTACGGCCCCTCCACAGTGCGCACAATGAGCTGACACCAGCACCGGCGCGCTTTGCCAGATGACAACACCGGCAGCGGCGCCAGCGCCGCCGCCCGTCTTAAACGCACGCTCAGCCAGCTCACAGCACCAGCGCCCAGGACCACAACACCAGCACCAGCACCGACACCCTTTCGAAACCGCGCGCAGCCAGCTCATTCTTATTTGCAGCAAGAACCCCATAGCTATCCCTATTTGATCCTATTTTGGGAATAACAACGTATGATCTTGCGCGTAGAGGTCTACGCGCACAAAAGCACGCGCGCAAACAGCAAAGCCCGTAAGTGCCACTGGCCCAAGGCCAAGCGCCCATAGGCTTCACTCGCCCAAGGCCAAGCAGCATCCAGCATGACTGTTGTGTGTGTAGCATGCTGAAACATGCTGAAACAATGGCCGGTTGAGAGCCGAACGTTGCGCATAGAACATCATACGTACAAAAGTACGCGCGCAAACAGTACAGCCCTTGACACAGCTGTCGGCCAAAACAGAACCTGAAGAGTGTAAACACCTCACAGCGCTAATAGACAAAGAACGCTCAAGCGACAACACCGTATGATGTTGCGTGCATAAATTCATGCGGCCCATGACTGCTGGCACTTCATTGACAGAAGCGGCGCGTGGTCGCCGTTCACTGCTACAAGCGGCGGTTCGTCACCCCTCACCAGCACCGAGCACCCGGCATCAGCACCAGCAACCTGTCTCCACCACATGCACGGCCAGCTCACAGTGGCCCAAGGCCAAGCAGTATCCAGCGCCACTATTGACTTTGTAGCATGCTTGAAGCAACGATCTGTATAGAACGATAAGGCCGTATGATCTTGCACGTATAGGTTTATGCGCGCAAAACGCGCAGCCAGTTCACAGCACCAGCACCGGCACCCTTTCTCCACCACGTGCACAGCCAGCTCACAGCGCCAGCACCAGCACCAGCGCCGGCAACCTGTCTCGAAAGCGCGCGCAGGCAGCTCGTTTTTTGAAGTAAGAACACAACCGCTTCGCTCTCTGGGGAAGAAGAATTCATCCCTAAAGATGAAAAAAGATTGTCTTTGAAGCTACTAGGAGCAAGGACGCTACTAAGGTCTACAGTCCGAAGTCTTGAAAGAACATCTAAAGGTCTACAGGAAAACACTTCTACAAAAACAACAGTAAAGAAAACAAGCAACAAGTTGCTGGGTATCCGGGTGTCGTAAGCTTTCGATCTGCAGAGCCCTGGCCTCCCCAAAAACACGGAAGAAGTCCTCGCGATTTCGTAGCTTTGGCAGACTCCTCAGACACTTAGTAACAAGAAGCTACTAAGTGGAGGCCAGCGATACTAGTAACAAGAAGCTACCAGGTGAACACATAAACTCACGATCGATTTAGGAGCCGGCACGGAATAAATCGCCAAGTTTCTCATCGAACTCCAAACTGGAGTCATACTGCCTGCGTTTCACCGGATCAGATAGTAGCTCGTAGGCCTCTTGGATCTTGATAAAGTTTTCTTCCACCTGACAGGCAGGTGAAAAGTCATCAAACTCTGCAACATGTCAGATCGGAGTCCGTAGTCGGTCCATTGATCTGGATTCCTCTTTGTCTAGAGCATCCCAGTACTGGCAGAACGCCAAACTCTGAAAACGAAAGCTGAAACTGCCTAACTTTTGGCAAAAGTGAGCTAACAAAGGAAAGTGGTAAAGAAAGAAAAATTGTCAGAGTAGTGAGTAGTGTCGCCGGTGCAGAAGTCTTGTTAAGTTTGACCTGGCCAACGGGTGAAAGTGGGAACTTGTCAATTGCGGATAAGTGTGCAGCTTTCACCAGAAGGACCGACCCAACTCAAAGTGAAAAGAAACTAGGAAATGCTTGCGAGGTGGGACACATGTTTTTCTTCTGTCTATTGTGAACGTTTCCCTAGCAGTTTGCCGTTGGCTTCATTGCATGCTTCAATTGAAATTACATGCGTGGCGGCCGCGAACACTTGTTCTCGACAAGCGCAAGAGCAAAAGAGCAAGTCTGCCTTGTCCCCCACCAAACGCTGCTAGTAGCTAGAAGCTACTAGGTGGAGGCCATGGCTAGTAGGTTGGAGGCCATCGCTATGTAACAATAAAGCTTTTTAGGTCTTTGAAGCTTCTAGTAACCCCTTACTACTAGTGGTGCTTACGAAATAAAGCGCAGACTTCTTGAGCTTCCAACCTTCTTGACTTCTTCCGGCTCAGCAGAGACGAGCTTGTCCGGGTGCGCGCTCAACGCCAAGCTTCGATAGGCTTTTTTCACCTCCTCCTGGAAAAATACATCGTCTTTCGTGCCCCCCCACCAAAAAAATACTAAATTCTCAACTAAACTATTCAATAACAACTACAAACAGGACAAAGGAATAAGACAAAAACAGAAACTAAACTAGTAGCGAGTAATGTGCCGCTCTCTCTCTCTCTCTCTCTCTCGACAATGAGCGAGATGAGTGGGTCCTGAGAAGCACCCTCAGAAATCCCCATCAAGTCCTGAGAGAACGAAAAAGGAAGAGAAAAACAAAAACAAACAAGAAAGACGATACAAAAAATCTAGATACCAATTGCCTCCAACGTTCGCCTCCACCCTACTAGCGATGGCCTCCAGCCAACCTACTAGCGATGGCCTCCAACCTAAGACGCTGGAAAATAAAAAATAACAAAAGTCAAGAAAGGCGAAACACATGTCCAGCATCGAAGGCATATATTGGCTGATCATGGCTGATCAATTGTCCATGAAGGTGCAGAGACTTTTGATGCACTCCAAAGTCAGAGCAAACACACTTGAAAACTGCTGCAAAGACCTACCTACTGGATAACTCTCTTTAGTCTGCCCCACTTGAAGCGACTCTTAAGTTTGACAGCTGTTTCACCACAGCCTGACACAGAGCCTGAGGGATCCACGTAGAGCTGCACGCCTTTGAGAAGCTCACCTGAAGTCGCAACTTGTTCCTAGTAGCTTATTGTTTCTAGTAGCTTCTTGTTACTAGTATTGTGAAAAATGTGAGGAAAAAGGCGTCAGAAAAAGGTAAAATAAGAATCTCTTTGAGAAGAGCAAGAATGATCAAACCAGTCGCTTATCTTCAAATAGCCGCCAGCCATTTTCTTATCCTGCGCAAGAAAAAGACACAAAAACAATTGCAATGTCTGAGTCTGAATGTGCAGTCCTTTGGGCTGCTCTTTCCATACTCCTCTCCGCGCGGTACTGTCTCATCATCGCTGAGGGAGCCAGACTCATCATCCTCATATGCCCTGGCCCTGGCCTCAACTCCCAGACAACTCAGTGCAACAAGTCGTTAGAAAAATAGAAAGGTACATATTGGAGGCACTAGTAGTATGTACGTTGCAAAATGCAGGCATTGCACAAACGGCGGGGTTGGAACTATTGCAGGAAGCAAGCGCATGGTCCAACAGGGTATCGTTCAAACAAATTTGACACAACTCATGAAACAAGTTTTACACCAACAAATGTGGTTCTAAACAAGTGTCTGTCTCAAAGTACTTGCTCTAAAGGAGTTAAATCCTCCAACTGTGGAAGGTTTAAACTTTAAACTGGCTTGCTCGCCCTTCCAACCCAAACATGACGAGCAAACCCTTGATTCAGAGCAAAAAAGGAGAGACGGCTGTTTTCTTTGCAAAGCTAACTTCCAGTGGCTAGTTTGCATAGCCTTGCCATCACTGCATTCAATCGTTTTGTTGCTCTAACATCGCTTTGCTATCACTTGTGCTTTTATATACATTGCTCTTCCTTTGCTTTTGCTCTACTTTGCTGCTTTGCTTGTGCTGACTTTGCCAGCTTTGGTGGTGCTTGTGGTCTAAGCCCGTTGGTTTGCAGGTGCCTTGATGATGCAACCTGCTTGTCCAAAGAAAGGCATCATACAACGATGTGCGCCTCAAAGCGGGTAGCAAAGGCAACCCCAGCAGCTTCGCACTTGTACTGTGCAGCTGCCTTAGCCGAAAAAAGACACAAAACATCCGCTCCAAACAACCGTAACGACGACCAACCCGTAACCGCCAGAACCATCTTTGAGGCCACTGCAACATAGCCACCCGCCACCAGCTGCACCGGCGCACAGCAGCTCAAGATGACCTGGAATGCTGCCAGGGAGTTAGGTTGGAGGCCATTCCTATCCCAATGTCAACTTAGAAGCAAGAATCCCTGGACAGCGGAACAAGTGCATCGCTTCTAGTAACAAGTGCCTTACTAGTAGTAACAAGAAGCTATTAGGAACAAGTGCCTTACTAGTAGTAACAAGTGCCTTACTAGTAGTAACAAGAAGCTATTAGTTAATCGGCTCAAAATGACCAGTAAAAATGCTCGATCCCAGCGCTGCAGGGCCATGGCTGGGTGCCACTGAGTGCTGAGGCCGCAACGGTTTCTGTGCTGCCATCCAGCAATGCCTTTCTGCCCATGGGACCCATAGCCTCGGAAAGAGATCCCAAAAACATTGATAAGAGCTCCACACATCATAACTTCATACTAGTGATTGGAAAGGGCACAAGTCTCTGTACGATTCAATGGTTGGCGAGCGGGCCTGGCTAAGCTAGATAAAGGCCCAGTGCTTGAACACAAAGTGCAGCAAAGATTTGGACATCCGCAATATGCATGACCACGTCGGCACGACATCAAAGCACATGTTGGTTGGAGGCCATCACTATTGGAGCGGGGTGGAGGCCATCGCTAGTAGGTTGGAGGCCATCACTATTGTTACATCAGCGCGACACCAAAGCACATGGTGCCATTTTTGGCTCAAGGCAGGCTTTGGCGGCTATCGGCTATCGCCTGTCCTACTCAACACAGCTCAGCAGCCTTCGAAGTCCTGGCCGCGGTGCTGCGAAGGACCGGAATCCATTGCCTTTTCTTCTGTTGGGCGACCTCCCGCTAGCAATGGCCTCCATCCGACTCCAACCTAATAGCATTGGCCTCCAACCTAGTGGCAATGGCCTCCAACAACACAAATCCGTTTCTCAAAAAGTGCTTTGGGCTCCACCTTGGTAGAAAAACACAATAACGGATCCAATGATGGACAACAGCGATCACACTCGTGGACCACAGTGCCTCCCAATACTGGCTGCCGTAATCGGTGATGAGTTCCCCACCCTTCCTCACCTCTTTGGTGGTCCTGGCTCCAAGACTCAAAGTATTGAAACACGTGCTGTTAATTTAAGGCACTTGAAGGCACTTGAGGGCAAAGTATTGTTTTCTAAGGCACTTGAAGGTCCTGAAATAGGCGACATCACCAAACTCACAGATCTTCACATTGACCTTCTTGCATTGCCTCAGGAGGGAAAACACTCAGAAGTTATCAAAAAGATTCAAAAAGTGTGTTGTGCGCAGTTGTCCGCTGAAGTCTTCAGCCAAGACGCTCCTTGCTTCGCGCAGCATTGATAAACCGTGCTGGATTTGTGTCAGCTGTCTCACGGCCATCGATGCAAAAAGTTGTTGCCGCTCCAGCTTTCTCAGCCTCGGCTGCAAAATTAACGCTGCATATCTTTTTGGGGGAAAGGCAGTGGGTGAGGTAGGTAGCTTACTAGGCACGAAGGGTGTTAGCTACTAGTAGGTAAGCCGAGTAGGCCGCTACTAGCTAGATACAGGAGAGCCAGCGCATCTTCAAAGAAGCTCCCTCCGCCTGAGAGCGGGGGGGAGCTTTATTGCAGAAGCGCTCGCACTATTCATATGGCTTCTAGACCTTTAGGGAAAATGGTGAATACCTTGGCGCGTTCGTTGAGCGCAAGCTGAGCGCAAGCTGAGCGCAAGACGCTAAGTAATTGATCGTCCGTAAAATTAAATAGCCCGTCTTCTCTCAGAGGGCACCACACATAGTCCATATCACGTGTGCCCCTCATTGTTCGGAATTCGCCAATGCCTTGATGCATGCGATCATCGCACAAGCTTGGCTTCATTGGGGGCCTGGAAAATTGCTCTTCCAAGACACTCAGAGGCTTTCCTTGATACGGCGGCAACCTGGTCCACTTTTTGGACTCCGTCTCCGGAGAGGCTTTCTTCACTTCCTCTCCAATGTCTCTTTCTCCTTATTCCTGTCTTGGTTTTCTTCAATTCATTTGGCTCGATTTCTTCCTTTAGACCTTCAAAGCCATTAGACCATTTTTTTTACTAGGTTGGTGGCCATCGCTGGTAGGTTGGAGGCCATCGCTAGTAGGTCGGAGGCCATGGCTTTTTATACTCTCTTTTTCTCTGAGCTCCCCGAACACTGTGTACTTCGGAAGCAGCTCGGTTGTGAAGAGCCCATCGCCAGCACCATCCAAAGTCGATGGTTTCACTTTCAAATGGGAGCCATCCTGACCAAAAGGCAAAAGTCAAAGTATCAATCGGAGTCAAGTATCAAAGATCATCAAAGACTTCAGAGTCTGTTTGGATAGATATTAGAATATATGAAGGATGTGGGGAAGCAAGAGATCTTTTTGGAATGAATTCAAGATTTGCCTAGGAGACCAAGGGGGAGGGAGCCTCTTCGGGGGAGCACCCCATATAGTGTGGTTTCTGCATGCTTCGTGACAGGCAAATATATACTTCTTCCAGGAACGCTGCTTGCTCCTGAGGCAGCCCAAGGCCCTAAGGTCTTGGTAATGAGAGAAAGAAAGAACCTCCAACCTAATAGCTTCTAGCCAACCTACTAGCGATGGCCTCCAACCTATAATAGCTTCTGGCTAATGTAAATAAATTAGAATAAATGCACTGTAATTAAACTATAGTCTGTAAATAGATCGGTTATTGTTGTTTTTTTGTGCCTGTCACTTTTTCTGGCCTCAGCTCTTGGCCTCTTTTCTAAGGGGAGTCTTCCTGAATTGCTTTTTGCAAACGTTCAGACTGTTCAGAGCTCGCTTTTTAATTTTGCTACACAGGTAGGCTTACAAAGGTGTTCACCATCTTCTTTTGGATGTGCTTGGTGTCCGAAAGCTTGTTCTCCTGCATGTTGCTGGAAGTGGCAAATTTATTCAATCAAAGGAAGCTACCAGAAAGCTACCAATGTCAAACACACTTTGTTGGGCTTGGATGCTTTGAAGCGACAATTACTTCTCTGCGGAGTCTTGCAACAAAATGCTGCGTGTGCATCAAAATGCCATTTGGCAGCGAACTAGCAATGCGGTTGATGTCATCATGTTACTCTACTGGGCAGCTCATGAGCTGACCCAGTTTGAACCTACCTGTCATTCCAACCAGTCTTGGTTTGACCGAAGGCCAAGCCCGGCCAAGGCCTAGTTGCGGCCAAAGGGCATGGGATGGCGTGAGGATTGTTTGGTTCTGTCGTGGCATGTGACACAAATTCAGCTCACCTAATAGCGATGGCCTCCTACACAAATTCGGCTCTGGCTCAGGGTTATGTCCAGTGCAGTTCAACGTTGCAAAAGAAAGTGGCCACACTAGAGCTCCACGAGGTTGCCATGGTACAGTTCTTCTTTTCTTCTGGGCCGATTCGGGAATTGTCCAAGTTTCGGGAGAGCGCTGTATTGGATTCTGTGTTTTTTTGGTGGGGGGGGAATTCAAGTAGAGGTCCACAAATAGGCAGTGACTTAGTGTCCAGTGCCAAGCCCAAAAAATAAGGAACAAAAAGGTACACAAGCACCCAGTTGCTTCCGGGCCTAATTGCGGCGTGCACAACAGCTGACGTACACCCAGTTCAATTTTTTGGTAGAGCTCTTGGAAGTACTTGTGTTTCGGTTGGACTCTGTCATTGTCTCTTCGCACCAACTTTTCCAGCTGAAACCGCTTCGTTGTGATCCTGCTCTGACAGTTGTCACCCTTGAGATTGTTACAAACAAAAGCCCGATTGGGAGCCCTGCTGTGGAGGTTTTGGGTGACTTCCCTCAGCTGGCTTTCGGAGACAATGGCTACCCTCTGAGGGCATTCTCGTAAAGACAGACTTGTGGCACTTTCTTTCTGGATGTGCTTTGCAGTTTCTCAAGGGGGGTGCATTGATGACCTTCTGCTTCTGTGGGCTGCTGACGTGCAAAGTCTGGTTGAAAAGGTGTAAAGCTGGCTCTCAATCCTTCTATCAAGGTTCAGGATTCTCAATTTCTTGGACCTGCACCTCGGCATTTTACCCCATCGCCGATCGCCGTGTGCATTGGATCTGTTTCTTTACGTGCAATTGTTCGATTCACCCTCCCGGTACTTTTGCGAGCCTGCGATGAGGAGTGGGGATTGGGTGTGAGAGGCGACTGTCTTCCTGGTGGCTATGCTGCAAGCATTCGGTCTTGCAAGTGTCGTTTGAAGCTAGCAGCTAGAGTTTTGAACTTGCTGGCTTGACCTTAGCTCGTTACAGCGCAAAGCTGTTGAGAGGGTATAGTGCTCCTGGAAGGCCTTCTTGAAGTTGCCGTGCAACAACCACATTTCTGCCGACTGAGTTTCTCAGAATCTCCAACAACTTAGCAAATTGCTTTGCCAACGTGCTCCAGCGTGGTGTGTTCCGAAGTCAATACAAGCAAGATTTGATGTCCTGTCTTGCCTATTTCATTGAACACGCGATGCGCAGGCATGTGGTGTGCCCTGACGAGTCCCGGCGACGAAAGCTAGGCATTGATATGGTTGAAAGCTGCGTGGTGACCGGGCTTAAGCGATCGCTTAAGCGACCTGTGTCTGATTGTTGCGCATGTCCCCATGAAACTGGTAGCTAGTCCGGGCTCCTCTACGTTCCACTTGAGCAAATTGGCATCCTTCCAGCCCAATTTGCCTGAAAAAACGCAAGAACTGAAGCATCTGAAAGTGCAAAAACCACTCACTAGCCATTTAAAGCACACCTGGACATGGTGTGGCAAAACAAGCGCTCGCATACAGAAGAAAAACAAAGAACACATTGTCTTGAATGTGCCCTCAAAATGTTGCCAAGAAACTTGCCCAGCCCCTCTCTCCAAGTCCAGCGTCGATCGCATCAAGTCTGGCTTTGGAGGCATCTGATGGTACTTTGTACAAGCCTGCGGCAGGTAGCCAAACTCACCAATGGAGTGAGTTCCAATCCACTCGGTAAACTCATGACTGGCTGAGATGAGCGCCGCCCGACACAACCACTTGCTCTGCTGATTGCATTTCACTCAAGAACTCGTGGCAGTTGCATTTGGTTTGCTCGCCTTAGATGGACCGTCACAGAAGGTCGGCCTGTGGTTGGAAGGGGTTGGACATGCTCAAGACCACGGACAAAGTGCAAAAACTTTCCAAAGTTCAGCTCTTGAGCCGGTCACACGATGTCACACACCTCTTGAGACCACAAAACATCGAAGCAATGGCCTCCAACCTAGTAGCCATGGCCTCCAACCTACTAGCGATTGACACAACTACGAATTCTGGGACCATAACGCCAGAGAAAATCACAGCACCACTTGTTTGCTCTAAGGCGCCATCATTGGCTTCTACGCAGGCTGTGGCGCACCAATCCCTCTCGCAACAGCGACACGGCAAACCTAATGTGACCTCAATCTTGATGCAGTTGAACACACACTTCAAGCCCGCACAACAAAGTTTCAAAAAGGAGTGTCTGATTTACAGCATATTTTTTCAGACACTCCACGTTTGCTTCAGTGCTTGCTGCAGAACGGTTCGTGCAGCGGCTGGCTCGGGCATGACGCCAACAAACAAGCCAGAGAAAAGCGTTCCTGCCATGCAGGGTCAACTTAGCTGCTTGGGTGTCAACTGAATTAACTTAACACTGAAAAATGAGTATCAACTGAACAGAGTAAATGACAGTAAATGAGTGAAGAAGTGCCTGTGAGCAGGCTCCTTCGAGTCTGGGAAAGTGACCAGTGGCGATTCGCAATAAAAGCTCCTCATCACAATGGCCCAATGGCCTCCATCCTAATAGCGATGGCTAGCGATGGCCTCCATCCATGCAAGTTGCCAAAAGTCACACTTTTTTGCACTCGCCATGCCCATCCTGACTCATCATGTCCACGCCAAGTGGTCACCAGCCACGTGGCAACTAAAACTTCCAAGAGTCCTGGGAGCCCGACACAACTCAAAGCAGCAAGCTGCAGAACTCATGTCTCTGTCCTCTTCCTCGAAGCTTTCCTAACAAAAACGGTTTGGCTTGAATATTTTGCTCACACAAGTTCCAAACCAAAACGTGCCATGCGACAAAGTGGCGCCAATTCGCCATCAGGGATGGCGTTTCAGACCTTCTCGTTCACTGTGAGCCAGGCAGTAGGGGATACAAGCGTTCTTGAATGAAGCAATGTAGATCAATAAAATGACGTAGTGACGCAGTGCAACTGACAAAAACTAAGCTCAAACAATGCCGTATGAGACAAAGCACATCGAAAAACATCCAAAATTAATGCGACACGTTGAAGCGCTTGTCGCAAACATTTTCAATACGGAGTAACTTGTATTGCACCCTTGGCTCAATGTGCACTTCCGTTTAACTTGCCACGAGAAGCGTCACTTCCACGGCATGTCCTCGTTGCACAACCCATGCC